TAATAACAGCCAACCAACTAACTAAAAACAGCTAACCAACTAACTTCAGCCTTTAACTAATAACTAATAAAACTAATGGGTTAGTAATTACATCACTATCAGTATGAATTATTTTGAAAGAAAATAATAATGATAACTTTTCTAATACCTCTTTGGAAATCCTACCTACTGGATGAAAAGGAATAATACACTAAATTTAAAAGCACGCATAAGAGCAAAAAATTAACAGGAGAATGTTTCTTTCATCATTAACAAAAAATAAAACAAACAAAAAATAACTAAATAAATAATTCTACAAGCCCATCCCTGGGCAGAGTGTGACAAAGATGAGAAGGGATGACTAGATGGTTCATCCTTTAAGCCAACCACAAAAAAAAAGAAATTAAAAGAGATCTTTCCTATCATTAAGTAAAGGATCCAAAAGTAATAAAAAGATTAGCCACAAGGAAACATACAAGTCTCGATAGCCAAGGAAAATATGTGGGGTAAAAAATACTCCCATTGAGAAAGTATATTGAAACATATTGTCAGCTAATGAAACAAGATAACGGCAGTTATTCGGCTTCGATGGCTCAATATGACATCAATTCATTAACATTTTGAACCATTTAAGATGGAAAATACCCATTTGCAACAATCATCAATAATTAATGGCAACACACAACAACTAGGACTACTAGACACTACGATTGGCATTGCAATCATATAGCTTTCAAACAACATTCATTTTGAATAACTTTAACCAAAATAAGCAAACCTTTCTTTGGAAAGTAGATGCGTCATTTGCACCCTTTGGAGATTCGCTGCAATGAAGGAAAAAAGAAGGTAAAAAAACTACTAGAAAAATAAATAGTTTCTTTTTTCTTTTAATGGAAGAAGAAGACGGATCTCATCGTAGGTAATTGGCTGCAATGCCTATAAAAAAATCTTATCAAATGCAACAACATTGCAAAAGAATGGAGAATTTCAAAGTACAAAAATTAAACACATTAGCTCCATTTGGACATGCACACTCCCATTTTTACAACCTCGTCATAATACTTTTTATCCCACTGCACTCTAATTATACACATACTCTCCCTTGGTCTATCCCTCTCTGTCCACATACTTTGACCCATCAATGTCTCACTCTTTCACACATTCTCCTAATTTTTGTAGCCAAAAATAATTTCACTAATGGAATGAAATGTCAAAAGGGAGAAGATACAAAAACCAACTCAATTCGAACAAGGAAGTTAGTAGAAAGATCTCTAACTGAAAAAAATATATAAAAAATACAATGTTACAAGAGTGTATTAAGGAAAAAACACTTCATGAAGACAACACAAAAATTATGGCCACGGGCCACCTCTAGCCAGCATGTTTTACAAAAAACTGGTCAATGTACAGGATCGCTCACCGACACACTTCTTACCAACTTCTTTACCGGAAAAGTTTTTGAAACAATCACAATTTCTCCACCTTTAACCACACTCAGACTTAACAAAACTTGTGTAACTACACTTGTATTAGGAACTTATTCCCAGTCCCAATTTACTTCACAAAAAGGATGCTTATCCTCTTATTTAGTCGAATTCTTTGGTAATATTGTACTTTCTCTTAATTAGTGAGATCTTATTTCCATTTTTTTAAAAAAACAAACACACACAACACAATTAGGCCAAGATACCCATATCCGTTTTTTAAAAAATATCCAAAAATTAGACGACATCTGCAGAAACTAAGAAACTATTTCATAATAAACGATAAAAAAATACAGAACCTCTCCTAAACTAATTCCAATTGACGGTGAAAAACAAGTGAGTATTTGGATTCAATCCAGTAAACTGTCACTAACAACGAAGGGGTATGTAAAAAGTTGTCCTTAAGAATACAATAAGTGATAACAGAGAAGGAGACATGGAAAGTTGAGGTACCTTTCTCTCCATCGAAGCAGGGCCTCTAAAAGAGGCACAGGTGTGTGTCTCGCAACCATAGCCAAGGAATCCAGTACTTGCTCGTAGGCAGGGTCTGATGGTCGAAGATATTGTCCATCCTGTAAATTGGAGCCAGTCAAACAGGTGGAGAATTGTTTGCACAATATTACTGGACAACAAAAATGGATGTGAAAATTGATTTCATGACATGCTCCATCAGAGAAAACGATAAAATTGCCCACCCGGCCGGGTAGACACACGAAACCGTTAAGCACTGAGCTACTGGCACCCAGAAACAGAAAAGAGAATCGACCAGAGTACCAGAAATTTCACATTACACATTCTTGACTCAACTGGGAGGATGTTATACTTACACCTAGCATCAAGAAAGCCTCAAATTGTAACAATGATCAGTGTCAGACTTATGAATAAGTTAGCACACACCCTCTAGTCTACAAATTTCCAACAAAGTGACTATTATAATTCTATCCTCTTCTCTTATTTCTTTCGGGCGATGGACTAGCAAAGCTGCACAAGCACATGATATTAAATTGAGGGAAGAATTGGGCGCGGGAAGAGGAGACAAACACAAAACTAAACCTGAGCTTGAGCGGTCTCGATTCGACGACGAGCGAGCGGGAGGAAGCGCTGAAGCAGTGCATCAACTATCAACTTGGCAGCACTTCCTGTCTTCCCGTCTTTAACCATACTCACCATAATCACTCAGCTTGCATTAACTTCACAACCCCTTACTGAACTTTCAATAAATCAGCTCGACGACGTTGAACAATCAAAAGGGTCCGGTCAGTGGAATGAACTGATTTGTTCTCCGATCTCTGCGTGATTTTGCTCCGGTCGTCCGCATCTGATCTTCGTCCTTGACAAGTGACATATGAATTTCAGATGGGTCTTTGAGGAGAAAGAAGCCCAGAAACTGAACCAGCTAGAGCAGGAAGACCGAGGTATGAATCCCTAGAAATCGGAATCATGAACAAGAAGAAGCCACGGAGGTTTCTTATCCACGGCGTATAGGAATTAGGATCCGTGGAAAACTGTGTAAGAAAGAAGAATTGGAGACAAAGTTGCTTCATTTTTCACAAAAATTCATTTTTGATTTGACAATTGTTGCATACCGAATCAAGAAAGTTGGAATAACAGGGTGGATTTTATGGTAATTCCAGGTTTCTAAAAAAGAAAATTTCAAAATTTACAAGAAAAATAAAATCTTTTTGTTCGTCCGGACGACAAAACTCGCGGATCGCGTTCTTCACTTCGGAACAGAAAATTTTGGTTCGGCTTTTTCCAAGAAATTAAAAATTAAATTGAACCCATAACAAACAATTTGATTTATTATTATTATTATTCTCGGTGAAAAAAATAGTTTTTTTATACCACATGGATTTGAACTCATAACTTCTTGATCAGAGATAGGAGTCTTAATCATTTGAAATTGTACTCCGACATTATAATTTTTTTTCATCAATCGAACCTCTCTTTTAAAAATAACAATTTAATCCTAATGATTTTATATATATTTCATAAATTATTATGTGACTAATACCAATACCGTAAAATTATACAATTCAATTATGTTTAAATTCATTTAAAATTTTTGGAAGATTTTACTTCCTTTTAGGTGAGTTATTTAAATGAAAGTTGCATTCTTAGTTTAGAGATTAATTTGATAAAATTAAAAATTTAAGATAAAAAGTTTTTAAACACGCAAAAGCGAACTTAGCGGTAATTGACATACACCTCCAACTAAGAGAAACGTGAGAAATCAGTACATACCAATTAATGCAGAGTTAGGCTCATCTTGACTTGACTTAAAAGATGAAAGAAGTTATACACCTAATTTTGTTTTTTACTTATTTCTAAAAAAAGGTCTGAAATGTTTGTTTATTAGTATTGCTACACATTTCTTTTGCATTACAAAACAAAAATCAAACAAATTTTTTGTTAAATAAAGAAAAACCTCTATAATAATCAAATGCAAAAACAACTTTTTCCAATAATAAACAAAACACCTTATGATATGAAGGGAAAAAAATTAAAGATCCAAACATACTGCACACACTACTTTAGAGGGAAATCTCAGTTATTAGAAAATAATAATAAAAATGATAGAGTCACTATTATTAGAAAATATCATAAAAATTATAGTCAGTATTTGGACAAAATACATCAAACTTATTTTTAGAGGTATAAAAATACACAAATTTATTGACTTTTAATTTCTTCCGGGTATAAAAATGACATATACTTAAAAAAATTGTATATTTTAATAAACATGTCCTTTCAGTGTTCGTGTCCCAAATATTTAGAAAATAACGTGTCACTATCTCCGTGTTGTGTCATATCTTTGTCTCGTATCTGTATCCATGCTCCTTAGAGAAAATAAGTTTTGAGAAGCCAACTGATTCAATCAAGCAGAAATTCTGCTCAGCTATAACAAAAACAGTTACTTTGATCTAGTATTACTAATGTACAATATTTTACTACATTTACAGTAATCAAATCATATTTGTCAACTTCTTTTACATTCATGTTACCTGTAGTGATGATAGTGTCTGTTTCTTTTCCTGAAGCGAGAAGCCCACCTGTTGTTGAATCTAGCAGGATCCTTTGGCAAGTTTTGAAGCATCAAAGCCCGTGTTTTTCCATCGGCTTGGATACCGTTTTCGCGCATCTTCGAGTAAAGCCTTTTTGCTAAATCGGTCTTGCCTCTTAAGCACATTCCTTGGATTACAGCATTGTACACAGATACATTGGGTGCAGATTTCTGCAGAACAACAACTTTAAGATTCAGAACCCCATAATTCACAATGCAAAACGTAGAATCATCAGAGATATTATTGGGCAGCAGTGGAGTGAAATCATCAGAGAGAACAAAACAACAGTAAGCTCAGAAACCATATTGTGGTCTGATAGAAAGCCATCTGTTCCAATTCAATTGTATGGATTTCAATGATGTCTGAAAATTTTGAACTAAACTTCTAATGGGAAGGTTCATTCCTCTTTAAAACAGCACGAGTTGATAGTCGAGATGGAGGACTGAAACAGTTATAGAGGTAAGAACTTACATTTAGAAGCACTTCCACTTCATCCCATAAAGATCCCCAGATGCAGCATCTGACAAGTGACAAATGAGTGAAGGTATCAGGAGTGTGCTTCTGATGAATCATGCGTTCATAAACTTGCAATGCAATTTTCGGCTTCCTGGCCATCTCGCAGGCACTAATAACAATGTTATAAGATGCTGTTGAAATTAAGAGACCAGAAGCCTCCATTTCCCATAAAATTTGGATAGTCCTGTCCCATAACCCAAGCTTTGAACAAGACATTAGAATGGTATTGTAAACATGTATGTTCAGTTGAGGCTTGTCCTCTCTTTTCACAAACTCAAAGAGACGAATAGCATCGTTGTACCGATTTGCCTCATAAAGAGAACCGAGTAGTGCATTCCATGTATAAGCATCAGGTGGATGACCCATAGATTTCATCATATTGTACACGTTGAAAGCTAAAGTGACCTTCTTAGCTTTTCCTAGAGCATGGATCAAGGCATTGAATGCAACAGAGTTAGGTTGGAGTCCACATTTCAACATGTCCTCAAAGACTCTTAAAGCGAAATCCCACTTCCCTTCCTTTAAAGATGCACCAATAATGGTTTGCATGGTATCGTTACCTGGTTTGAAATGATTTTGAACCATCTTTACATATGTGTCAATTGCAAGTTCGTTCTGTTTACAGCGGACAAAAGTACTCACCAATAGGCAATAAGTTATGCGCGTTGCACCACAGCCATTTGCCTCCATTAGCCTCCATGTCCTCTCAGCTTCTACCCAGTTATTCTCTTTTCCACAGACTGATATCATCGTGTTATAAACAATCGGATCGAAATGTTTTACATCATATTCCTGTTCCCATGCCTTGAACATCTCAAGAGCAGAAAGAAATCCACGAGCATCTGCAACTGCTTTGAGTATAAGGCTGTAAGTGTGCCCTGTTGATAACTTGTTCGTTTTCATAAGAGCAAAGATTCTTAAGCCATCATCAAATAGCTCATTCCTCAACAGACAAGCTAAAAGTGAATTCAAAGCATGTAAACTTGGTAGAAGACCTGCTAATTGCATGGATCTAAATAGTTCCATTGCACTTCTGACCTTGTTTTTTCTACTGAGAATTAAAATACGCTTTGATAGCATAACTTCATCAGTTTCCTCAAGAAAATGCACCTTGCTGCCATTTATAAAAGCCTCCGCTTCTAACATTCTGGGTTGGTTTGTATCTTCAGATTGAAAGCTTGACTCGTCATGCTTTACAATGTCTCCCCAGGGAGGTGATTTCCACTCAAAGGATTCAAGTCCTTCTTCATCAGTAACCAGTTCAATTGCCTCATCCTCTTCACAGTTCAAAAGGGTTCCAACACCAGTACTAAATTCCATGGCCCTTGTGGACCGAATCACCAAATTCAATCGTGGAACACTCATAGATAACATCGAAATCACATTACCCCGATATATTATCGAGCATCTCATACGTGATTTCAGGAATGAATTAACATTTCTGCACTGGTGTAAAAGCCTGTGTGCATAAGTAACTGGATAATATGAGTCCTGCTGGTAATTCAACTCATTTGATAAAAGCAGAGTGGGAGATGGATTTATAAGCACTCCTCTCATACTTTCCTAAAAACTAAAAAGAATGGGGAAGTTTATAATCCAGATGTAATCATTCCAACTCAGTGAGCCTGCAGAAGAAGAAAGCAGTCACAAAGAACATGAAGTAATCACAATTATAGGAGAAACTTCAAATTTTCATAAAAATGAACATACCCAAAAGATAGAAAACCCACGTAATATTGAACTACTACAAATACAGACTCAATTTAGTGGTGCACTCTGAAAGAAGGATCTTCCCACCATTCCGTTTTGGATTATACTTTCCGGCCGAAAAATCATGTCCATATATTGGGTACCCATGAACGAAAAAGAAAAAAGAGAAGAATTAAGAATGCGGCAGAAGTTTCATTCTGTGCACAATAAAAATCTACGATAACAATCCAAAGGAAAAATTCCAGCTGATGAAACGAACGCCACAAACAAGCGTTCATGTTTCAACGAGATTAAAAAAAACTCTCAACATTCATTCAATTCAATACAGAAATGGAAATTTACCAAGATGTTCATCTTCCCGCGACATCGTGGATTACAGATGGGAGCTCAAACCAGCAAGAAAGAAGCTCTTTCAGAAGAAGTATGATCCCTCCAATTTTAACATTCGTTGGTTCTAAAAGATGTCGTTGTTAATGGTTATAGATAAATATCAAGATATTTAATGTCTCTCAATCAAAATATTATCCTTTTTAATATGTCTTATATTGCTTTGTAATATATAATTTCCTTTTGATTTCTGTAAAGAAATTTTGAATGATCGGTGGAAAATTTGAATGGTTTTACGGGAGTATTTATATAATTATAAGAAAAAAAAATCTATTTAATTTGAATCTTAGTTCAATATATTCAAATATATTCATTCATAATAAAGGTAAGTAACGCCAATTTAGCATATAAGATACTTAAGGAAGACAAAAATTTAGTGGATTTTGTATAAATCGAGATTTGTTACAAGATTTTTTGACTTATTCCATACCAAAAATGATTTAAGGAAATCACTCAATAACACTTCATTGGATTAGAAGGTTGTGATTTTGAATTCCTACACCAGAAAAAGTGGTCACCTACCAAATATATTCCACTCAAATAAATCAAAAGACAAAGTAAAATAAAAATATGTAAGCAAAATCACAAGTTTACATTCTCTTTTCTTTTATCTCATAATGCAAATTAAAACGGCTAAATTAGAAAACTCAAGCTATGAAGAATGAGAACTCAGAAGATGAAAACACGAAAATCAAAGGGAAGAACGAAGAAAAGCTAACTTATCCAAGAAGGATTAAAACAGTTCGGCTTAAGTTTTCGAGTAAGAACAGTCATATCGACATATCATGTTATGCCATCATTTAGTTAACAGTTTAGTTCACTTTGTGCTTATCGCACGGCTCTGACATGTAATTAACAGCTTAGATGAAAGCAATTATATAAAATGACAATCGAAGTTAAATTGAGAGGGCAATTTGGCAGTCCATTTACTCAGAGAACATACACAAATATTTACATGAAACCAGACTGCAACAATTTGTAAAGAAATAGAGCTGAGCTGCAGAGACTGCCACTGGAGAGAGGGAACTTGTGATGAATTAAGAAAATGGAAATGATGACTTTCACATTTCACCTGAATTATAGAGTGGAGTTAGTTATATACAAGCAATCCTTTGTTACTGTAGAAGTCTTCATCATATCAATTCCCTTTCTGGGAAAGTTCCTTGTCCATCTGACTTCAACCGTCTCTGACGATTGGAAGTTGATGGCGCGTTCTGGCAGGCCTGTATGTTGGTCCAGCAGCTTCGGTTGGAGATGCGTAAAAGAAAATACATGATGATCATCGCTGTATCCAAAGAGATTATCTGTCTGACCATTTTCAACTGCAAATTCGAGTCCGAAGTCGACCCGAGGAGGGGGCCTTTCAAGAGATGAAAACCCGATGTATGTATACAGTAGCAGTACAGTGGCCAGTCTGCACCAGGTACTCTCTATGAGCATCATCATCCTGCTTTCCTCTTGGAATGTAGATGACTAATATTTGAAGGTAATTTCCCAGGCAAAACCCGGTCGCTTGGATTAAGAGAGCGGAAAATGAAGAGAAATTCACAGTTTTTAATTCAGTTGAAAAAGTAAGGTGACTCCAGAACTTCCTTCAGATCGAATTCTCCCCGTTCGGGTAGAGGAGGAAAGTTCAATGTAGGAAAAGATCGCTGAAAGCCCTCCAATAACTATATGCAAACAATTAGTCAGATCAATTGCAATATCAGTAAGTGTAAGACATAAAAACAAAAAATGCATATCTTTACAATGATGTAATTTTCTATTAATTTCAAAGAAAAAGAACTAATTATAGATACTGTGATCCTCTCCCATGTTCACCGATTGCATTTTATAGTTAGGGACAACAAACATCCACATGTTTTCATAATGGTATGATATTGTCCGGTTTGGATCGAAACCCTATTGATTTAGCTTTTGGTTTCACCTAAAAGACCTCATACCCATGGAGATGTTGACATTCACTTATATACTTTATCTTCCCCTTTCGGGCCAAGTTTGCATTTCTAACTAAGAAACGTTCCCATTTTTATCTTTTGCATTATTGAGGCAACAAATTTTATATGATAAAGATCAGTCATACCTTTTTCTTCCCTGATTCAATCAAGTTATGATGATATGCAAAATGAAAGATGCATCTCATACTATTCAAAACAAAATATGAAGCCATACATTTTCCAGTATTGGCATCTCGTAAAGTTCAACAAACTTCTCTCTAAGTATTCGATTCATTTCATCCACATCGCACGCATGTGTCCAGTATGAATCATGAACCCCTGATATCATATAAGGGCATATAGCAGTAAGCACTGGTAGAGTGTAAAAGCCTTAGATAACAAAGAAAAGAATCCATGAGGACAAACCTGCAAAACTCAAACCTGCCTTTTTGCAGGCAACTGCAGTCATCATCATATGAGAACCATCAAGGGAGTGAACAAAATTTGGTGGGAATGCTGTCCGCTGCCTCTTGGCCAGGACCTGCAATGTCCAAAAAAGTTCTTTTAATAATTTTGTTTTTCTTTACAAAGAAACAGAACTTTTTATTCGTAATATAGAAAGTAACAAGTGAAGCTATAAAGTTACCTTGTCTGTTTCTCGTTGTAGTGTCAAAACTTGGAGGGAAGTTTTGATCTGAAACCAATAAGAGATTAGTTAATGCCTAGGAATATCCCTTCTATTCAATCATAAAAGAACTGATTACTTTTATAACATCTTCAACACTCACAAGATGTCTTCCCAAGACGCGATACGGTTGCACAACAGGTAGACCAAGGGGTGTAGTCCATCGCACAGGTTGATTTTCAGAGGCAATGATCTATTCGAAAGCAAACTTCATATTAGTTCCAATAAACAGCCATGAAGTAGAAGCACACGTTTTTTCCTTCAAAAAGAAATAAAAAAGGATCAAATAAACTAACTTTTGCGCAGTCTCCTAGCCAGTTCATGATCCCACGGGCTGCTTCAAACATTTCCCCTAGTGCAGTCAACGTGATCTGCTCAGACATAATGTTACTGGACATTACTAAAAATGTGACCACTCATTGAAGC